TCTGGTATAGTGGTAAGCAAAATCCTATTTTCATCATAGTTGATTTTTTGTATCTTCCCAAAGTACTAAATTATTATTAACTTGGTTAGGTCTTCGAGGAGCAATGGCTTTTGCCCTTGCTCTGCAATCCGTTCATGATCTTCCAGAAGGACATGGTCAGATTATATTCACTGCAACCACTGCCATAATGTTTTGACGGTATGGTCGAAGAACCTTACTTTGAATTCACAACCTATTGTTCAAAATATACTGAAAAAATAATTCCAAATTATATTTTGCAAGTGCTAATTGCTTTTCCATTCAGTGCTTATTGCTTAGATCTGAGGGCGGTAGTTATAAATACACTGCAGTTTGCTTTGTCTTAATGATACTTGTCCTTTAAGTAACTATTTATATTTTCTGAAATGTCAAGGTTTTGTTAATTGGAGGTTCAACTGGTACATGCTAGAAGCTCTTCAAGTTGTGGGAGATGGCCATGATGTCACTTAGGGGAAGTAAGTTCACTAAAACTATAGTTTTCTTCACAATTTCAATCTTTCTTAGCTTTACAGTGTAAGTTTTTTATATGCTTACTTTACCAGTGGTTTTGTTTTCAACATAGAATGCTGAATTTATCCGTTGCTTACTTCGTTATTTGAACCATTCAAATTGATGAGAATCAAGTAAAACGTCAAAATAGGATAATTGCGGCTGCCATCATGATGGTGCTGTGTTTTGTTGTGAATTCTTTATACAAAAGAAATTTGGGTTAGTGAGTAAAGTTGAGTGATTTTAGCATCTGTACTGACCAGTAATCCATTGCAGAGCTTTGAAGGTAACAATGGATACGTCGCTCCATCTTATAATGAAGATGGACCATCCGGAACAGATTTAAGATGAAATTGAAAGAGTTCCACAAAGGTAATACATAGATTTTTTGTTGTTTTTTTGGCATGGATTAACAGGGTTTAAAGTAAACTCCAGTCTATGGAATGCTAACAAGAGGCCTTAACCACTGCTCCCTTGGGTTGTTGGCTATGTAAAAGAATTAACTTCCATATATGGATTAATCAGCTTTTCTTATAAAAAAAATGGATTAATCAGCTAATATCTTTCATTTTATTGAATTTAAACCATATCTGACCTTGCAGAACATCATCATTCTCTGCATTAGATAAGAATTACCTAACCCCATTCTTCACAAGTCAGAACGAAGAAGATGATGATGAAGAGGATGGTAAAATTCACTTCTCTTTGCTTTGTGTGTATATTATTTCTCTGTTTTGGTTTTGATGGCAATGTGGTGTAAACTCACCCTTCTTTCCGGAAATTTTTTTAGATCAGCCTATGCCCAGTTCAAGAAGGGAGGGTATTATGACCAATAGATAATGTCCTCAAGAGCAGCTACAAGGAATTAACTCTTTGGTACATACACATGAATTTCATTGCATACTGGCTGGGGAAAAGCTTGAGCTGCCCATATTAACTCTTTAGAATGTATAATAAATGTTTATTCACTTCAAAATAAATGAAAACGTATAGACAAATGTGCCAATATCGGTTTGGAATGGAAACCCTTTACCTTTCTCTTTGTGTATCATTAGCGTCATAGTCGATAATCAGTATTGTATCGATCGGAATACCGAGGATATAGCAACGCTTTACTCTTTTGATCTTGAAAACGTTCCATGAATAGAATTGTCAATAAATTCAATCATCACAGGCATTGCCAGTAGTCTCTGCAAGAACAAGACCCGTCATAGAAATGATGGAACAGATTGGTATCTCTTACGATGATTTCCCTTTTAACAACTCGGGATGCAAATTTAAATGCCGAGTGGCAGTCGCCGCACACTCTGATTTCTTCTTGATACGGATTGTGGATCCTGGAGGAGAGTTGAGGAGTGCAAATGCCAATGCGAGTTTCTCGCTATGGTACTGCAACTCTTGATGATCCATGTAGAAAAGAACGTGGCTCGTGTTGGATCTACTTATATATTATTATATATATATATATATATATATATATGTTAGGATCTACTTACACCTAGTTTAAAATTTTTAGTTTTACACCTTTTTATAATCGTTAGATGAGAGAAAATCAACGACTAAGATTAATTCCTTTTTTTTAATGAATATCTTCTAATTTCTTACTATTAATCTCAACCTTTGATTTTTCCTCATCTGACGATCCTAAAAAGGTGTAAAACTTTTTAGTTTTACCCTGTGTAATTGGATCATATCCCTATATATATTAGATCATGTTATATACATATTTTTTATTTTTAAAACCAAATTGAATTTTAATCCTCTTTTATTAAACCAATGGATTATAAGAAGTATTTGTTTCAAATATCTAAATCATTTTACAATAAAAGCTCAAACACCTTTATAGACGTTAGTGTCTATGCCAAGATCTTTAGGGACAATTGAGGTATTTTAACTTGTGTAAATTAAACCAAATTCAATTAAATTTAAAAATATAATTTGATTCGATTAATCTTAAAGATATGATCCTTACGTGTATTAAATTTTTAATTTTTATTTCAGTGATTATAAAAAAGTATCCTAATTATTGTTTAATTTATGATTATAATTGTAAATCTTATTGTAATTATGATATTTTTTTAAATAAAATTATTGTTTCTATAAAAACTTATTTATTTAGAATTAATTTACGATGGGATACTTTAGATCGGTGTATAGATAAGAAACCATTATTTTTAAAAAAATAAATAATAAAAAGGAGCGTATCGGAGATTTTTAAAAATGAAATATCATTAAAATTGGGAGCCACGGCACGTGTTCCGCACGTGAGACATCGTCCGCTATACTAATTCAAATTTGAAAAGGAAACCCAAGATCCCAACGGTAACGCGGATCCTTTCCTTTTTTATCTCTCTGTTTACAATGGAAGATTCCAACGATTTTCATTATCTATGGGACCGACCCTCTTCTTCTAACCGACGTTTCTTGGCAACAAAACGCCTCTATTTGTAAGCATTTCCACTCACCAAATCAGTTTCCAATTCATTTTACTGATTTGTTCATCTTTTTTCTTTGTTCTTTGTTTCAGATTCTGATGCAGCTATGGCTTCCCGCTTAGAAAGCCCATCGATGTCCAATCCGGATCTTCTCCTAAACAAATTCCGGTAATTTTCCGTTTCTTTTGAAGTATTTTTGAAGATGAAATATTGGGTTTTAATCATTTTTACTTCTTGATCTAAATTAACTTGGGTTTTTGTTTTAGCTGATTTAGATGATCCTGAGCTACGCAATCGCAAAGCTCTAATGTAATTAGTACGCCCTTAGAGAAATTGATGGTAAAAAAAAAACCTTTGATTTTGAAGAACTTCGAAAATAAGATTTAGTTTCGAATCCTTTGATATAATTAACTTTGGGTTTTTGTTTTTAGCTGATGTAGATGATCCCCGGCATTTGCAAAGCTTGAATGTAATCAGTACACCACTTAGAGAAATTGAGGTAAAAACCCTTTTCTTAGAAATGAAATTTTCTCCTTTTGCATTGGATCCAAGTGTTTAAGGATGTAATTTTTAATATAAAGAATTGGTTTTCAGGCCGATCCATGTGGGATTTTCTCTATCGTCGCCGGACCTTGTTATATGCACTGGATCACCCGATATTCCATCAAAAGCCTATGGAGATTCTCCTGAATTCTTGGGAAACAAGGTGTTCATTTGAGCTTTCTTTAGAATGGCATTGATGGATCTGATGGTAGTAAGCTAAGTCAAAACTCCCACTGTCAAGTTCTCAACAGTGTGCCAAACATTCCCACAAAGAACTGTCCCCCGAATCTTCCTTCGAGCTACTTCCATTACCAGAAACTGCAGACGATAAGCATGAAAACATTCCTGTTATAAGCATCAATGCAGGTGCTTAATGGAGCAGCCAAATTCGATGGTGTAATTTATTCGAACGATAATTGTTACGAGGGTGGTGATGTTAATTATTGGAGATGGAGTGGGAAAGTCATTATATGACACAGCTCGAGTCGGCAACTTCTCATACAACTTTTCAACACTAGAGTCTGGCTTTTATGCTATTGATCTGCATTTTGCAGAAATAGTTTTCACCAGTGGTCCACCAGGAATTAGAGTGTTAATGTTTAATACAAGAAGAGAAGGTAAGAAATTCGGATTTGATCATTTGAAGCTTCCAATATCACATTATACTAATCAGCTTTATTATTTGATCAAGTTGATTGAACATATTGCAGGTTGTGACCAGCCTAGATATATATGGCCAGGTTGGTGCAAATAAGCCTCTGGTTATATCTAAACATTAGAACTTTGTTGATAGTGGGGGAGGCTTGCTCATTAGATTTGAAGGATCATTGGGAGTCCAATTGTATGTGGCATCACTATAAGGAAAGATTCCCTGAAGTAAGTTAACACATTTTAGCAACTTTCTATGTTAAAGCAACTCGTGTTGTCCGAAAATATCTAGAAATAGGTGCCGGGGAATGGTCCTCCAAATATATAGGAACACTTTGAAAAATTTAAGCATACCAATGTTGGACGTATACCTTGAGGTAACATTGGGCATGGCTGTTTAAAGTTTTCTCTGGGACAAACCTCATGTTATATGCGAGAAAGGTTGGCAACATTCTTGAAAGATATAATTTCATGAAATTATTTATTTTTATTGGTAAGAAACAAAATGTGTCTTGAAGTCGAGAAGAATTTGTTGAACAAATTTGTGAAACAGGATTTAAAGCTGGATCAGAGGAAATCATGGGAATGGCAATAGTGGGAGATCATGAATCGCCAAGAGTAATGGAACTTCCTATATTTTTTTTTGTGTTCGAGTAGAAGAATCGCCAAGAGTAATGGAACTTCCTATATTTTTTTTTGTGTTCGAGTAGAACAAATTAAAATTGGGAGTTGAGAAAACTGAGATCATTATAATATGATCATTTGCAGGATATTAGTGACGATGAGGTAGAAGTAAAGTATCAAAGGCTGCAAACAGAGATGAGAGCCAAAGAAGGATAGCAGATATGAGGAGTGCCTTAGAAGGGCTTAAGAGGGATAACCAGCTCAAAACTAAAGAGTGTCAAGAGGCTTGCAAATCTTTACAGGAACTTCAAAATGAGCTTATGCGTAAATCAATGCATGTTGGTCATTGGGTAAAGTATTTCTTGCTCTTTTTTTCCTTTTGATAAGCTGTAAATACCTTATAGTTATGTGTATATGGAGTGAATGATTTTGCTTTTATTATAGCCTTTGCAATTGAGGGACAAGTGAAAGAGAAGAGCAGATGGTTCTCATCATTGAGGGACGTGACAGAAAATTGAAGGTAATAATCAGAACTCGATGATGCATAGTTAGTCGATACAAAGCTAGAACTGTGATTGTAAAAGTTTCAAAATGTTCCAATTAGCAGATAATGAAAATGGAACATATCAAACTATCAGAGGAGGTATCACTTTATAAGAATTTCATCTGGATATCGATGATATTGGCCTAAAGTTCTGTCGAGAAGTAAGTTAGCAATACAACTTATAAGCACATTTACTCAAATATTCAGTTTTCGAATTGCTTGATACATATTTTCTCCCCCTTCTTGTAATCCTATTATCTGTCCAAAAGTAAACCAGCAGATTTGCATGAAGATCTCAAGACTAAATTTGTCAAAGGGGCCAAAGAAATGAAAGAACTGTACAACAAAGTTCTAGAATTGAAAGGTTAATCAAGTTGATTATTTAATATTTAAAATATATGACATAGATTAGAAACTTAGGCCGAACTGAAATTTCCTATTTCTTGCAGGCAACATACGAGTCTTTTGTCGGTGTAGGCCTCTAAATTCTGAAGAAATAGCAGCAGGAGCTTCAATGGCTATTGACTTTGAATCTGCAAAAGATGGTGAACTCACCGTGATATCAAATGGTGCTCCCAAGAAAACCTTTAAGTTTGATGCTGTTTTTGGCCCTCAAGCTGAGCAATGTAATGCCATGACTTACAGCTGTTTTGGACATAAAGCAACTGTAATATCAACGATATTCTTACTTCTATGTTTACATTTCTTGTTTTTGTTCAGCCGATGTTTTTCAAGACACAGCCCATTTGCTACCCTCGGTTCTAGATGGCTTCAATGTCTGCATTTTCGCTTATGGGCAGACGGGACTGGGAAAACTTTTACGATGGAAGGTACAAAGAAGCTCGTGGAGTTAATTTTAGGACTCTTGAGAATTGTTTCGCATAATCAATGAGAAAGTTCTGTAGATATGAGATATCTGTCAGTGCATTAGAAGTCTACAATGAACAGTTAGAGATTTGCTGGTGTCAGGCTCTCAGCAAGGCATGATGACAAAAGGTAAGTTTTTGTTTAAGCATGTTTTTTTTTTTTCAATTACATTTCACTTTTCTAGAGTAATAAAATTAAGATTGATAATTAATCTTGATGAGATATCAACCTGCATCAAAGATACAACAGTATGTGTTAGTGCCTGATGAAATTCTGTGTAAATTGTTAATTTATTAAACTATGAATGATGCTACTAAAGTGAAGTCATTCTTGGGAACTTTCAAATGGTTAAAATCCTTTTAAATCAATGTGGCTCATTGTAGACTTGAAGTAAGGCAAGTGGGTGAAGGAGTACACCATGTACCGGGTCTAGTCGAAGCGCATGTAAACAACATGAAAGAGGTGTGGGAGGTTTTACAAACCGGCAGTAATGCAAGGGCGGTTGGCTTAACTAATGCCAACGAGCATAGCAGCAGATCCCACTGGTCCGTCATCAAATTTTATTTTAAATTAATTTGGTTCGTATTGCACCAAATGTCTTTAAACGATGCTAAAATTCTGGCTTACGGGTCTCTCTCGGTGCAGTCTTCATTGTGTGATGGTTAAGGGAGAGAATTTGTTGAATGGTGAATGCACAAAAAGCAAGCTATGGTTGGTGGACCTAGCAGGAAGCGAACGAGTAGCAAAAACTGATGTGCTCGGTGAAAGACTCAAGGAAACTCAAAATATCAACAGATCTTTGTCTGCACTTGGTGATGTCATATCTGCTCTTGCTACTAAAGCCCCCATATTCCTTTCAGGTTATAAAAACAAAAGGAATACTTTTAAACTATTAAGAACACCAAATTCTCAGGTTTAAACTCAACTATACTTTAATCATGCAGGAACTCAAAGCTTACACATTTGCTTCAAGACTCTTTAGGTCATTTTATCTTTATTCGCTATGGTGAAATTACTCCGATATAAACAATGAAAATAACTGATGATAAGGTTTGTGTTTGTTACAGGAGGGATTCAAGACGCTCATGTTTGTACAAATCAGTCCCAATGAGAATGACCTCAGTGGACCCATGTTCCCTGAACTTTGCAAGTAGAGTTCGAGGAATAGAGTTGGGTCCGGCGAAGAAGCAAATGGACACCTCGGAACTTCTGAGATGGAAACAGATGGTGCAACTGACAACTTAGTGGCAACATTTTCGAGCTTATCTTGTCATTTTTATGATACTAATAGCATTTTTGTTTTTGGTTCATACAAAGGTTGAGAAATCAAAGCAAGACATGAAGAACAAAGATATGCAAATCAGGAAGATGGAAGACACAATTCATGGATTAGACTTGAAAATGAAGGATAAAGACCTGAAAACAAGAACTTGCAAGAAAAGGTATTATTTATTATCAATCATATGAAAAATATTCAGTTTTAAGTAATGGGAATCTTGGTCCTCATCAATTGCTTTTTTTTTTCCAGGTGAAAGAACTGGAGTCACAGCTACTCATTGAGAGGAAGCTAGCACGCCAGCATGTCGATACAAGGATCGCTGAGCAGCACCAGCAACAGCAACAAATGAAGCAGCAGAATGATGAGACAATAGTAATAATTCAGCGATGAGACCGCCGTTAGCACTCGGCTTTTGGGAGCTAACAAGAATTCGAATGAAGTTAAAAGTGGTACATTGAAAGAGCAAGTAACTTAACTCGTCCACTTACAGAGAATAGCTCCAGGTCTTCTATACCTCTTTCGGTAGCTGATGGTTCCATCAAGCACATTGATCCAGTCGAAAAAGAAACAACCCCGAGGTTGCTGAACAACTGCGACTACCGACGAAACCGGAAGAGCCTCGATGTGCCCAGCGATACATAGGCTGCCACTATCCTCAGCTCCAAGACGCAACTCTTTAATACCATTGCCAAGCATGCCTTGCTCAGCGCAGCTTGCACAGCCAGTTCTTCCATTGCCATCCCAACCGGATATAAAAGAAGAGGCAGACGAGTTTATACCGGAACACGGCGTATGCAACAGTCCTAAACCGATGAAAAGCGGGAGTAAGAAGCTGAGCACCATATTGAGACGTAGCCTTCAAAAGAAAGTTCAGCTAAAGTCACCAATGCAGCAACATTTGAGAAGAGGTCTAAATGTGGGGATGGAGAGGGTTCGAGTTTCGATAGGAAGTCGAGGGAGAGCAGCCGGTAGAGTAGTGGTTGGCAATGGTAGAAAAGGAGGAACCAAGGAAACTCAGCAGAAACTGAACCAGAAGGAGAAGGAGAGAGCATGGAATATTGGAACAGTTGGGAGGACTGCAATCTAATGGGCTTTAAGATTCATATTTATTTTCCAATGTACAGTTGAACATGTATTCCATTTGTTGCCTTGCATGGGCAACAGCTAAGAAAACACAAAAAATAGAATGTGTGTAGATCTCTCTGCCTAAATGATGCTAATCAACTGTGTTGGATTCTTGTGATTGCTAATCAATGGATTTTTTTAAATTATATGTGTGACCTATTCTTATTATTTTAATTTGGTTTAAGGGCCACTGTTGCCCATGTTGTAAATCTATTATTATTTTTGTCCCTATAATTTATTTTATCAATTTAACACTCAAAATTGTCTATAGTGTTCGTCTTAGCCCTCAAAGTTCGTCGATTATTTTTGACCAACAGAACTGTGAGTCTTTTGCGTCTGTGGATTAAGGGATTAGATTAAAATTTTATTAACACACTTGTTAGAATAAATTCCCAAAAGATTAAGAGATTATGTCAAATTTTTAGAGATTTTTTTTTCTAATTGTTGTAATTAGTAAATGTTTTATTATTTATTTTTTTAATAAATATCATGTCATCATCAAGCCACGTCAGTAATATTTGGTTGATCTGAAAATTGTTGGTGTTGAAAATGCAGAAGATTAATGGTTTTATTCAGTGTAAGAGAAATCATTCGAAAAACCTATCATATCGATAAAGATGTGCATTATAAAATGAATATTTTGAAAAACGTTTATCACATGACGTATCTTTATAAAAAAGATATTTTGATAGATAATATTGTTTGAATATTGTTATGGTAATAATATTATCGTAGATATTATTTTAGAATATTTACCTAATTCAAGTAATTAAAATGAAACGAGTAGAAGTGAATTCTAATCTTATAATATCTACTCTTTAGTTTTACCAGCAAAACCCTAAGCATCCTTCTTAGGGTATAGTATTATGATTATAAACATAATCATACTCATTAGAATTACTATGTCTTTTTTTTTTTAACTTCTCATCAGACTATCGAGTCCTTTCCAAAACCATCGCCGCCGCTTCACACGGCCAACGTGCACCCTCTTGGCCACCGCCCACCCACCATCTCCGGCGGCTTGTACTGCCTAATCAACGGCCACTTGACCCCATAAAAAACGGGTGCCGTTTAATATCCTGCGCACCATTTGTGTATCCTAGCCTCTTTCTGGGGTCCTTTACCAGAAATTTCTCGATCAAATCCTTTGCCTCCGAAATTCTCGGTGGAGACTAAAATAAGGTGTTATTTAAAAATCATTTTTTTTTTATATTTTCGGTCATTTTTAGCGTCTAATAATTTTTTTTGTTATTTTTAACGTCTAATAATATTTTCGATCATTTTTTTTAAAATTCGATTAAAACGTCTAATAATAATAAAATCAGTATTTTTTTAACGTTTAATAATATTTTCAAATTTTTTACCGTTTTTATTATTTAAACAATAACAAAACCGATAGTATTTTTTTTAACCGTATATTAAATTTGCGGAACGTGATCATTCCATTCCGAAGCGTAATATTGTTATTAACACCCTTAAACAGCGTCGTTCCGTACAACAACTCGTGAATGAATACTCCGAAAGCCCACCAGTCAATGCTGTTACCGTGGCCGTCACCGGCTCCGCGACGAATTCGGGAACAACTTCTTCGTCGGCGGCGGCCGTTCCAACAGCGGAACCGAAATCCGCGGCGGAAAGATTCCGTCTCCCGCGGGAGGAAGTTAACGGTGGGGAACACGTCAGCGACAAAGACAAATCGAAATCCGACAACATTATATGTCCGTCGTCTCGTAACAATACGTTTTCGGGTTTAATTAAGATCCCTGTAAACGATCCCCAAGGCATGCAAATACTCCAAAGCAACCAAAACCTCCGCCGTGAAAAACCGAACCGCCGGCAAAGAAAACCGGTTCCCGGGCTGTTTACGCAGAAGAGAATGAAGGTCTCCGTCGGGACAGAAATCGATAACGAAACAAGTATAGTGAGAAGCTTCGATACGCGCGTAAAGCGTCGGGAGAAACGGGTGGTTCAACATGGATAAGATCTTCCCCTCCGTTTCGACGTGGGAAAGTTTCTTGCCGTTCAACGAATCCCTGTCGATTACTTTCAGAGCGAAGGCGTCGCCGTCGTGGTCTTTGAGCTGACAGAGGAAGACCCTACCGTGGTTTCCCGTACCCAAATGGCGGCTAAGCTTGAGGTGGCTGAGTTGGAGGTTTCCGTCGGCGAAAAGGGCGGCGGCTGATTTAATAGCTGCAAAATGAGGATTCCAATTGTGGCGTCGGCGAAAAGAGAGGTTTTGTTAGTAAAGGTGGAAGTGAAGCTGAAGTCGAGATGATCGGAGTCGGAAAAATAAGTTTCTTCGTCCATGGCCGATGAGTTTAGAGCTTAAGCTTAAGGTTTCTCATTTATGATTTCTATATATATCGAAGAGAGAAGCGGAGGAGAAAATGCATGGGGGATGGAGAACTTTTAGGAGGGAATAAATATAAGTTTAATTTTGGTTTTAGTCCCTCTATCATACTGAAATTTATAATACAACCATTTTACTTAGTTTAACACTTTTTTATTTTATCATGGGTAAATTACGCGTTTACTACCTAAATTATCAGTTTTGATTTGTTTCAGTATCTAAATTTTATTTTTTTCAATACCATAAAACTTTAGTTTTTGTTTCATTTCAGTACTCACCGTTAAAAACTTTAGTTTTTGTTTTATTTTAGTACCTCATTCAAAATTTAACGAAGTTTTATATTTTTTTAAAAGTTTAGGTATTAAATGCGTTAATTTTTTAATGAAAGAGTATTAAAAAAAATAAAAATAAACGTTAGATATGATTTTGAAAAAAAATTAAAAGTACTAAAAAAAAAAACTGATAATTTAAATACTAAATGTGTAGTTTACTCTGTTATCAGTAGTAAGTACAAACTGATTGCGTGAATTTTTTTAGTTTCACTTGATTACACAATCACATAATATTTAAATTTGTTTTGAAAAGAAAATTTTGTATTTTTACTCTGAATTTGAAATTACTAATAATACTATAGAAATAAAAAAATTAAATATGTGAAACTAAAATGAAAGATTGTAGAATAATGGAGAGACTCATACTACAATTATAGATTTTTAAATAAAACAATATATATTAGGGTAAATTATGCATTTAATACATAGTCTATTAGTTTTTGTTTGTTTCAGTACCTAAGCTTTCATTTTTTTTCAAAACCATACCTAACATTTAGTTTTTATTTTATTTTAGTAACTCACCGTTAAAAACTTAACGGATAGGCTGACCGGACATAGCTCATGTGGACGGACGACCAATCTGAACGGTGAACCACGAGAGAATGACGAGAGAACCAATATAGTCTAGTTTTAGACCCATCAGACAATTGATGATGAAGATCGAAGAATGAAGAAGTCGAAGAGTTCATCATCAATTTGGGAGATTGAGGCATTTTCCGAAGAAACGGAGACCAAAATCATGTTTAGTGGGTTGAAAAGATACGGACCGCAAAGTTAAGGCTTCATCGACCGACGAATGCGATGATCGACGACTATAGACACGGCGACCGACGAGTCCATCCGTTAAGTTTTTAACGGCTGAGTATTAAAACGAAACAAAATCTGAACGCTAGGAGAACAAATTGAAAATTCAAGTATTAAAACGAACTAAAATCGATCGTTTAGGTACTAAATACATTATCTACCCTATGTATTATCATTCTTTTGGTGATCATTTATGAGATTATGTTAATATGTTTATTTATCTATATAATAATATACAATATATGTATAGTGTAGCAACAACATATGCCATATGGCCCTTGAATGAGCAACATTGTTTTCAACAAATCTATCTCTTGATTATACCCACTACACCACATAATATTCATTTTGGTCCCAACATTATGAATCATCGATTACGAAAAAGGACCTAAATAATACATCACTCGAATCTGTCCTTAAAATTTCAAATTCTTTAACACATACATTCAATGCTCATTTACCATTTCTGTTACTCAAAATGGCCATTCCCACCCGAAGACTTTGCACCGATTTCTTTTACTAAAAAAGTACCTCAACTTTATCAAATTCCTTTCTTGGTGCTTTGCCTTTTCATAATCTTAGCAATGTTTACATAGATGCGTCCCACATCGAATTTTTGAATACTTTTTCTAATGCTACTTAAGGGGAGAGATTATGAGGTTATAATATTGTACAGAAAGTGATTATGAGGTTAAAAATATAATTAAGTCTTCTTTAAACAAAGTTTGACACACGAAAGACACTGTGTTGCTCTATTTGATTCCAATTCCCATTAAAACACACATTTAGATTAAAAAATATTCGTTTGGAATGTTCTTCTTGCCTCCGTAATAAAGGAATTACCGTTATTCATTGAGACTCGAACCCGAACACATTATTCTTCTCTCAAAAAAGAAAAGACGACACTTCCTTTTTTATGTTAATTTCTCTATTTTTTTCATCAAAATTTCATGTTGAATGGATATATTTAACTAATATGTATTATCATATGTTATAAGATTTATGGTTTAGGTTTGTAAGAGAAATTTAAGAAGGTTTAATTATAAATAAGTGTTTAAATTATAGTGTTTTTTTATGAATAGGTGTCCAAACCTTTTTTTTAATGATTCAGGTGTCTAACGTTATAAACGTTACTACTTTAGGTGTTCGATCCGTAAATATCGTTAATTTTCTCCGCTAATGTGTCACGTGTCACATTCAGGTAGTTTTAAAATTTTATTTAAAATTAAAAAAATTGAAATTATATTTTAAAAAACAAAAAAAAAGTTTTGAAATAACCCAAAACTTTGAAAACTCTCATTTCAACCCCTAAACTCCCGTCGACTGCTGCCTTCGACGAAGCTCCCTCGACCTCACCATTCCTCAGGATTACATTCAGGTAGTTTTAAAATTTTATTTAAAATTAAAAAAATTGAAATTATATTTTAAAAAACAAAAAAAAAAGTTTTGAAATAACCCAAAACTTTGAAAACTCTCATTTCAACCCTAAACTCCCGTCGACTGCTGCCTTCGACGAAGCTCCCTCGACCTCACCATTCCTCAGGATTAATAATCCTATGAAATCGCGTTCAACTGATGTTTTGTACCCCGTGAACCCTAGGCTGAAAATCGCGATCCCAAGCGATTCTGACAACAAATCAACGACAACTATGACGACATATGACAAGACTATGTCAACAACGATGGTTGTAGCCAACAAGGTCGATAGTGACGAGTTAGGGATTTGAGATTTTATTATAATTTAAGAGAAATTAGAGTTTTTTTTATGAATATAATAGTGTTTTTAATTTTTTTTAAAGAATTTAAAATTATGACACATGTCACTTTACAGTAAAAAATTAACGATAATTACGACCCGAACACCTACAGTGATAATGTTTGTAATGTTAGACAATATATGTTCATAGATAACTTTCAACCTTTCGACAATGAACCCTCGCACTCATGACATCTATGGTGTTCGAACTTGAGTCTCAAAAAATAACTATTTTTACCACAGAGACCACTCGGAACAACAAATAAATAAATACACGAATAATTAAAGAAAATACATAAAAAGAAATTCAGATAATAACATAGCTAGTAGTGATAGTCATAGAAGAATGTTTCATACATGGTGATAAATATACAAGTAGATCGATGTTGATGATTTTCTCAGCTAAGCTTCAACCTTTGGCTAGAAATGATGAACCCCATTTCTCCCCCTCGATTTCATCTCGAAATTGCCGATCAAACCAGTTTCTTTTTTGCTTCCACCTTCAAACACCATAATCCTCCATCGTTGGAAGAATGATAAATGGTTTCTCGTCGTCGGAAAGCTGGGAAAATTCTTCGTAAAATGCATTTTTTCGGATTTTCAGGTCGAAGATCTCCCATTGCTTTTTACTTTTCTTCTGAGGCAATTTAAACGGACTCCAGCTCTTTCTGCGTTTAGAGGTTTCGCAGAAGAGGCCGGATGCCAAGGCCTGCTGAAGCCAAACCGAATTCTTCTTCATCTTCGTCGATCATTTCAGCATCCAAGTCCCAGGGATATCGGCTCGACTTTGATCTCTGGGTCTTCTCTAAACCAACCATGTTACGTGGAAGCTAGGCCGATGCGTTTGGTCTACGCCATTCCCTGCAACCACCATTCGGTAAGTTCAAAAACTGTTAGGTACATGAGACAGGTAAGGAGGCCGAACATTCTCTTTTCAAATGGGATTTGAATCATTTAACTAGCAAGCCAGCTCATACACACAAAACTGACGCATTCATGCACATGCATGTTTTGGCATGTAATGTGAACAACTGACCTGACAGATGGCCCATTCCGAAACGTCGAAGATCTTGCTCTCGGCGCAGAAAAGCACGTGGTATTTCCACTATAGGACAGGAAGAAAACATAGTAAACAGCCAATTTGAAGAAAGAAAAGGAACCGAAATTCGGCCATTCCGATGTTTACTTGAATGACAAAAATACTGTTCTCTGGGGTCTTCCTTTCATTAAGTAGTCGTTGAACTAAAACGTTGGTAGTGAAATTAATGGTAAAAATTATCGACAGTGACGCAGAAACATTCACAACTTGATGGTCATACCAAATTCAGTTGAAACTATCAATGTAGTAAATCAAACGGATCGAGCATTTTGCACCGATGAAAAAAGGAGCTTACCTTCTGAGGCCTATCAAATACCAAGGAACCTTTATACTCAACCCATCCATCTCCATCCTTGGCTTGATATTGACAGCAATCCTGTAGTCAAAACTAATCTCAGAAATTTACGAAATTCATGCATTTAGGGCTATATATATACGCGTGTTGTATGTATGTCAGTTTCTGGACGTGTTCGTGTTGCTTGTCTTTCTGTGCTTCCATGAAAAGCCTATTTTTGTGTGCAAGAGCACATTAAATTCCATATTAATTGAATAGTGATTACAATTTCGATTAAAATTTTCATTCTCATGAGGCTTAGGTCTCAAGCTTCACGGTTAAGACTTATTCTGTTCCAGTATAAGAAGTTCACACATTTCGAAAGACCGGATTTGAAAAATAATCAGGAAGTCTGACCTGACACCACCTAGCCTTGGCCTTGTTCCTGTTTGTGCACACCCATATATGGGAATTACCACACTTGGTGCATTGTATACGCCTCGATTCTTCAGAGCGATGATCTGAAGTAGATTGCTAAAAGGAGAGATTGTTGAAGATATTAGTTTACACGACAACCCAGAATTTATTAAATTGATAAGGAATCATGTCGACTTGCCTAAAAATCCAGAGCTTGTACAAATATAGAATGTAAGAAACAGCAAGCGGAACAAAGAAAAAATAATGAAAGAAAAACGAAAATGAGCGATAGAAATCAGAACCACCTGATGTGAAGAGCTATGGGACTTTCGACAGACGCTCCTCACTTTGGATTCTTCCTTCCTCAATTGCTCATCATAGTCCCTCTTCTTCATGGAATCGGAAAGGACCTACAAATGCACACGAATTCCAGCTGTGTAAAGAAGCCATAATTTCTCTAATCGTCGACAGTGTTCAACTTTCATTCGAGATAATCGGAACTCAAAATGAAAAAATCATGCAAAGACTAAAACAATAACGACGAAATCATTGTTACATCATAAGCACACTGAAGTTTCTTAAACGATTCACTTGCTAAAGGACTTCCCATGTTTTTGTCGGGATGTACAAGCATGGCCTGTCAAAAATTCCCAGAAGATAAATCGAGAAAATTAGTATATACTAAAAAATGGAAAACTGAAGAAGGCTAAATGATGCTTCCTTTTGAGAAGGAAAATAAAAGAAGTATGTCCTCCCTTCCTTCCCAGACAATTATAAGAAGCAAATGCTTTTAATGAATAATTGCCGGTACCTGAATTAGATATTTAGACAAATCAAATGTGTAAGGATTCTTTCAGGATAGCATCTACCTTTTTTCGGTATTCCTTCTTGAGGATTCCAGCATCAATTTTTATGTGACGAGGGAACCCCAATGCTTCGTAATGATTCGTGCTATTCAATATTCTTTTCATTTCATCAGTCGAACTCGTTTCTTCCTTGACAACCCTTTTTGCAGTGAATTCCTTTTCGTTTATAACTGATGTAGTAGCAGATTTGCTCGATGACTTGAATTGATGCAACTTCGTAGGTTCATCGGTGGGAATAGAGTATTCACAATGTCCAGACAAATCATCTTCCATAACCGATTTGGGCTCCTTTTGTTCTTCAAAATGTGTGTTTTCACTCGCATTATCAAAACATTGGAGCAAATAATTCACCATGTCGTTCGACAAAAAAGCAAGGTTTATAGATAGAAAAACGCCATGCCACCCAACTCGAACTTTGACACAATAAACAGAATATGCAGTCGCTATTAAAACTATTAATCGCGCATGACTTAAGGAGAACAAATAACCTGCGCAGAAATATATCAGCTTCAAAGATCACAAAACAACAGAGGCAGTTAAAGCAGATGAAATGCAAATACAATTAAGCCCATCTGGTTTATTTTTCTAAATACAAAAAGACACTTATGTAGGTTCATACATGTATAAGCTCGAAGAAACGAAAGCCGTAATCCATTTTTATATATATATATATGAAAATGAGATAAGAAAGAAGTATGAATAATATATCACTGACAGGAAAAATTCATTCAATAGGCTAAGAAACAAGTCATACCTCCAACTATAAGAAGTGTTCCGGTTATCCAAAAGTTAGCATACATCCATAACACCAATATGCCGAACAGTCCTACGATAAAGAGGCCAGGCGCGTGACCTAAGTACTGAACAGCAGCTCCTGCCGCTCCCTGAAACAAATGAGACCAGATCCTAAGCATCATCCTTAAATTTCTAATCGTAAATTATACGTCGATAAGATTGATGCCACAAAGTAAACCAAGTTGGAATGAAAAGTGCAAATCCAACGTAACTATCACAACAACCTAACTTCCGATCATCACTAGCAAGAATAACGTAACTTTCTAGGGTGGAAAAGGGAACTTTTAACTTCCGAGATCGCGGTTGTGTAAGATGTAATGCAACCTATGGCCGATTCAATATTAAGTGTTCGAAGAAAACTTCAATCGCACTCTACACATTATGCAGAGAGTTTTTATGCGTAAGGATAATGTCCAAGGATCTAGGAATCAAGAGAATTTGCGTCTCGGCGTCTCTTGCAAGAACTTCAGTATGATTTCCAATCAACAGTTCGGCAATCGGAAAAAACCATAAGATTCTAAAAGCGAAAACTTTTAAGCTAATCCGAGCATCTTTGCTAATAATCTAACCTCTAAAACATCAATTCAACATCGAAAAATAAAGCTGTCGAATCTAGCCCAATTCTTTGACCTTAACCAAGGAACTCCGAAGACAAATCAAGGTTGACAAACATAAAATCACAACCAACTTGAAAAATGTCCAAAGACAATAAAGATGCAATAAAGCACATTTTGAATAGAATGAAACTGATACATACCATACTGATAAGCACATAAGCAAGCAAGACATGGAAGTCAAGCTGAGGAAACAGCTCCACATTATGACAAGCACGAAGCAGGACTAATTGGAACATGACTGAAACCCTCTCACCAAACAATCCTTCCAGATCAAAATCAACATCCAAACTTGCCGAGCCCAACACCCACTACAGACCATAGGCCATGTCTCTCCATTAACAACCCCATTTTATCCCTACACCAAGCAGCAGCTGGTTTTCGCCTTTGAATAAACATGTTTCTGAGATTCCAACCATTTCCAACCCTGCTCAAAAGACCTATGTCCTCCATCGCCTAAGTTTTTAAATCTTTGGATCCACCCTCGATAAAGATCAATTTTTTACTAAGAAAATGGAGAGAGGAAAAATACCCATTTCAGGGATTGAAGTTTAGAGAACTACAACACACCCATTTTCCCATTTCATTAGCTTAAATTTAAGAAAAAAAAAAAAAAACACTCATCAAGGGATTGCAGTTGAGAGTAAATTCGATCACGATGGGCTCATCCAACCCCACAAAAGTTTTTGCTTCACATGTAAGCTAGAGAAAAAAAAGGGTTTTTAAAAAGATAAAGGACAAAAGATTAAAGCAAATTACTCCCCATTCTTTAACTCTGAAAATATGGACTAAATACAAAGACTAAACAAAGAAACACAGTAAAGCAAATGATAAGGTCAGTTGAGTTGGTGCCTTGGTGGGGTAACTAAAAGCTTAATTATTTTTTTTAAAAATGGGTTTTTTATTTATTTTGGTTATGGTAAGACAACCTAAGAATATATATATATTTTCTTATTTCAATTTGTTTTTTCAGTGAGAGCTCGTGAAAAAAAGGGGGTATGCTCTGAGTTGAAAAGAAAAAGTTGAAGTAAAAAGACAGAGAGATGAAACGAGCGAGCTTACTCAGTCTCTGAGTCAGCTAAACTTCAACTCGGACAAGTAGGAAAGGAAGGATAATTCATTAACATTGGACATTTTTATTAGTTCATAATTAGACATTAGATACAGACCAGAGGGTTGAGGGCCCACATTTTTTTTAATTCAATAATTTATTAAAAATAAAATATTTAGAATTACAATTAAATTTACAAATATAACCGTAAATCTAAATATAATTATGTCATTTTATTATTATATTGAGATAAAATTAACTACCTAAATCACATAAGGACAAAGAAGAAAAAAGTTAAAAACATAACTAAAAAACTCGAATAAATTAAATATATGAATAAATATGACTGCATCGGTAAATGAATTACAAAAAAAAATAAAACTACTTAAAGATCACCGACAAATCGTAAATCAAAATCAAACGACGTGAAAAAACTATCTACAAATACAACACGTATCCAAATCAATCAGAGGGTCTAACGAGGAAAGATCATTATGATAACAAATAATCGTCATCTTGATCAGTCGTTGATCAGTCCTGGTAATATCTAATCTAACCCTAAAAAAAGATATATAAAACAAAAACAAAAAACTGTAAACTACAAAGAAAATAAAAAAAAAACATGTCATAAAGACAGAGATAAACGTGTCATAAAAATAAATAATATATCACAAAAACATAATCATTATTATTTTAAAACAAAAAAAAATAATAGACAGATGACAATTAATATTAAAATTAATGATGTCACAATTAAATAAAATAAAAAAATTAAATTAATTAATAAATTAAATTAATCAATAAAATTAATAATAAAAAATCGGTGCCGCCGCATTACGAATCACCAACAATAGAGATGAGGACTTCGAGATCTCATGTTTTTGTACTGTTCATTTTTCTTTTTGAAAAGTTATTATTTTTATCATTCAGAATGAGATGACATGACTAGGGACGGGTATAGTACTCAAATCCCGATAGTTTTGATCTGACTCGATTTGATCAGGTCGAAATTAAAAAAAAAAAAACAAGAGGTTCGAGTTGTTCTTAGTCAAGTTTTTTAAAGGTTGTGTTCTAATTGGATTAAATTCGAGTCTAGAGTGAAAATATCTTATCCGATCAGAAAAATATAATATATCTTATATATTTAAAGATAATTATAATAATAATCCTTTATATATTATTTTTAATTAAATTCTTATTTATATATAAAAATAATATTTTTTATTATTTTAGTGGTTGTTTTGGGTTGAGAACGGGTTCAGATTTAGAGTAAAAATATATGACCTGTCCAACTCGAAAAATATAATTTAACTTTATATTTAAGGATAATTATAATAATACCCTTTTATATATTTTTTTTTCAATTGAATCCCTATTTTTATTGAATAAAAATAATATTTTTATTATTATTTCGGGTAGCACCGAATTCGAAATTTATCTCAAAAAGTCAAGTCGGATGAGGGTATTTTTTGAGTCGGGCCAGATCGAGTGAAAGATGTAAAATTTTTTGATCAGATCTGGTTGGCCGAAACCGACCCGTGCCCATCACATGAGAGATGTTTAACAGGGATAAAATCACTTTCGGTTCTTAGAATTAGACGTCTTTTAAATTTAGTTCTTGAAATGTTTTTTGTTCATTTTGATCTTTAAATTAATTTTTTACTCATTTGATGATATGGTACACTAAACGTGTGTTATATGATATAACTTTTAAATATCACATTATTGAAAAGATAAATAGATTGATTAAAATAAACTTTATGGATTAAATTGAAAATAAATGTTAAGTTTAGGGATTAAAGTTGATCTATCCTTTTATGTATATACATATATATTATAAATTGTTTTCTTTTTTATTATTGAGAATGAGATGTCATGGATTGAAATAGTTTTCTTTTATGTACATTAGCATATTGTTGTAGGAATAAATTTATGAATTTATAATGTGGTTGAACAATTATTATTTGAATCTATTATCAAATTTTAGTATAAATAATGTTTTTATTAATAGTATAATAATGTTGAGTATGTGAAATTTGGATATATTATTTAAATCTTTCAGTCCACAGTTTCGAATTAATATTAATTCGGCTTGAGAGAAAGTGGTCTAATAATATTTTTGGCCCTCAATGGTTTTACGAAAATCATTTAGTCTTTAATTTTTTTTCCTCATCTCTTTTAATCCTGAAAATTTTTAATCAAATTGAACCAGTTGATGGGAAAATGTTAAGCTAATATTAATTATGTCATTTTTAAAAAAAAAAACTTTATGATTTCCAATTATTTAACTATACTTATTTATCTATTTTATACAATTTTAAATCTTTAAATATTGCTCTTTTATGTTTAGATCAATATGATAAAAGAGTTGAAGGCCAAACAAGAATGAAATAAAAATATAAGAGTTAAAATGACCAAACCAATAACATTAAGGGTCCAAAAGGGCTATTTTACCTTTTCAATTCATAATAATAATACATGAAAACGTAAGATGATTGCAGCCAACCAAAAAGTTCGTTGCAATTGATGGTATAAGGATAGAGCTTCATTTAGTATTTTTTTTCTTTAATGCAGTTTTGATAGTTTTAAGAATTTAATGCTTTTTCAGTGTCCTAAATATCAATCAGTGTGATTTAATAAATAATCGGTTACTTTAAATTAATTCCCACTAATTTTTTTTAATTTATTCGTTATCAAATTAATTAAATAAAATTTTAAACTCTAATTTCAACTTAAACCCACTTCAAAGATTTTTAAATAAGGGTAGATTATACGTGTAGTACCCAAACTATCAGTTTTAATCCGTTTTAGTATTTAAACTTTTATTTTATTTTTCAAAATACCTACAATTTAGTTATTTTCGTTTCATTTTAGTATCCCATCGTTGAAAACTTTAGCTTTCAATTCATTTTAGTATCTCCGTTCAAAATTTAACATTAAGTTTTGAAAATATTGAAAGTTTATGTCCTAAAACGAGCTAAAGCTGATAATTTAAGTACGTTATATTTTTAGCGGTTACTAAAATAAGACAAAAAGTACACTTTAGGTATGGTTTTGAAAAAATTGAAAATTTAAATACTAAACGGATCAAAACCGATAGTTTAGGTACTAAATATGTAATTTACCCTTAAAATAATCTGGATAACCAAGCATTGATCAACTCTGCAAAAATTTCTTTAAGTAACCAAAGTGACCAAACACGGTAACATTTACAAGAGCTAGGTTTTGGCTATTTCCACCAAATACAAGAAAGAACAAACACTGTTGTACAATTTACAAACTGGCAAAGCTTCAAAAAAAACTCAAAAATAGAATAAAAATGAATAAATTTAGGCATTTGCTCGCGTCGATGTTTAAGCACTCCGGTCGGTATTGAAGGTCATAGTTGCAGAAGCTGAGGTTCCTGATGACATGGTCGAATTGTCTTTGTCCGAGCCAGAGAAGGCACTATAAGATGTGTTCTTCAGTTCCGGCTTCACTTTATCAGAACTTCGCACTTTGAGGTCCATAAAATCAGAAATTAAGCCTGGTTTTGTTATCTTCCTGTCGTTGACGTCTTTCTCGCCGGTTAGCATCTTGACCACCGATGACATAGACGGCCGTAGTTTAGGAGCATCCTGGGTGCAAAGAAGACCAATCTTGAGGTACCTACAAGCCTCCTCTACATCGAAATCACCATTCAGCAAATCGTCTATCAACACAACCAGCTCATTTCGCTCGTAAAGTTCCCATGTCTGCAACAAGAGATCAGTGTGTCACGAGGAGCCAACATATATCTCGATGGATGATCTCCGAGCAAAACCGAAAGGGAGTCTCAACACTCGCGGATCAAGCTCCACCATTGATACAATTGCAATAAACTGAACTTTAAACTAAAACAGAAAAGACTCGAATCCATACCCGTTCCAGGAGATATTGTTCTCCTACAGGTAACCGCGTATCTGTGTTACATCTCCCAGTGACGATTTCAATGAGGAGAACGCCAAAACTGTAGATATCTGCTTTTCGTGTCAGCTGCCCCCTCATTGCATACTCCGGTGCAAGATAACCTCTGAAACCAAGATTGCATCAATGACATTAATACTCGAAGCATAAAAGTTCGATCGATGAGCAAATACAAACTAATTTAAGTCCAATGCTACAGGCTTAATTTGGTAAATTTTAACTACAGCCAACGAGGTCCTACAGCTGATAAAATAAATTTGATAAGCAATGCCTTGAAATAGAACCTAATATAAAGAGAGAACCAATTTCAATTCGAGTTTGTTGAAGTCCTCAACCTTCTCGAAAGTGAAAGCATATTAGACACTAGTTCTTCAAACTAGCCTCACTTTCTCCTTTCTCCATCTGTTTTCTTGCAGATTTCTAATAGTTTCGAAAACCTAAAAACCTTTAAAGTGAAGAAAAAATGATGTTTGTAGATGTTATTGCCAAGGAGAAATATGATACGTGGATTACTATATACAGAGAAGCAATCATCTATATGATTATTAAAGCACAACTTCAATAGAGAATGTTTGCAATCCGACTCATCGTTTATATTTGGACAGGGTTGTGAGCATATGAATATGACCGTTAAAAACCTTCCAAATACATAGAAAAGCTTAGGATTGTTTTTAATAGAACCATGTCGGAGCACTTATCCGACACTTGCACCCGAATCTGAGTAACACGGAATATTTTGTTTCTGTTGCTTTTAACACGAACGCTTTGTGACTTGGATGGTAATATGGTATTAACTGCTAATTAAAGACTAAAAATACATTTGAAGTATGGCTAAACTTGAAGGAATAAAAGGAATACTGGAGCCTTACATTGTTCCAGCCACACGAGTGCTAACATGGTCATGTTTGCTGGGATAAGTTTCGCCAATCCGAAATCTGATATTTTGGGTGTTAGGTCTCTGTCGAGAAGAATATTGCTAGCTTTGATATCTATGAACAATGTATGGCTTTACTTCCTCATGAAGGAAAGCAAGCCCACGTGCAATCCCGATACATATTTTGGTCCGTGTTTTCCAATTAAACTGGATATACTGTGACCACTACCTGTAAAGAAAAGGGTTAAACTGCTTAGTTTCAATGTGATTAAAAGGACTGCGTGACCGTTAACAGGAAGATTCATTTTATACAAAACTTATTCTATTATTGACATGATAATTATACTGTTCATATAGCAGAAGGCAGCGTAAAATATATAGCAAAACACCTCTCTCTTATATATATAAAATATATATATGGTTTTACTACTAAGTATTATGATATAAAGAATAGCCTCAAATTCAATAAATTGAACTCAAAAGTGCAGAACAATATTGAAAATTTACCAAGAAGAGTCTGGGAAAGGCAGTTATTCTCGAGGTAGTTATAAACCAAGATTCTTTGATTATCTTCCACACAGCCATAGAGCTTGACTAAATTTCATGCTCTATTTCAGAGATGACCTTAATCTCTGTTACGAATTCTTTCACTCCCTGTCTTGATTCAGCCGAAAGAACTTTTATTGCAGCAAGATTTCTGTTTTTGAGCCGCCCCTGAAAATTAATAATGATAATTAAGGAGGTTCCTTTCACAGAATTATGACAAGAAATAAAAGGGTACAGCTAGCAATGGTCATATATTCAAAAACATATATATACCTTATAGACAGAGCCAAAACCCTTCACCAATCTATTGACTGGGCTAAAATCTTCGGTGGCGTTTCTTAATTCTTTGTATGTGTAAAATTTTACATTGTGAACGTCGAACTCTGTTCAGAACAAGAAAAATAAGGCAGATTAGGAGGTTTCATTCATTAAATTACGTGCGGAGGCATAAAAAGATATTCTAATTATTAGAAGGCTTCTTACTTACCTTCATCAACCTCAAAAGAATGGTTTTTTGATGAATCATTATGTCCACGAAATAAGAAAGAAAAGCAAGTCATAACTTAATGATGCACCAGAGACGAGCTTTCCTGTATATTTGATCAATGCTTTGAATCAGAGCACTTTCTGGACCTGCCAAGAAGAACCAATGAGAAAACTTTAATTTCGTACTTGTAAAACCGTGGAATCAAATAAGAAAATCACAAAGGTAGGCAAGGAGCAGTCATTCATTAACTGTCTGAGCTAAAAATCAGAACTCATAAACCAAATTTCGTGGTGTATGTCGGAAAATGATGCAGACAACTTGAACACAGAAAAAAGCAATATCAAGCAGCCAATGGTTTCAGAAATATCTTCCGAATTCAGTTTGGGATTCAGTTGGGGCCTAGGATGTAGTATTTATGAATTTAATATCACAACCTTCAGATTTTTAACAATGATTATATTTTAATCACTTCGGCACTATTAAGTTTCGCGGTAGAAGTTTTCAGCAGGCAGCAATTAGCGTTGCAATCTATAGCGCAGAATGTAGGGTAGCTTTGCTTGCACTAAACAAGCCATTGGTAACAAAACACAAATATTGGGGTAGTTCTGCCGTACGGCACCCTAATTTAAGGCTAAGAAACGACATAGAATAGGCGCGGCCGAAAATGTTATAAAAACATAACATTTTCGGTTGAACTCAACCTAAAATGTTAACGTTTTAACATTTCCGGTTGGCAACTGAAAATCTTATAAAGAAGGTTTGCAACCGAGAAATGTTAAGAAAAAATTAACATTTTAGGTTGCCCTTTTTCTTAGCCTTAAATTAGGTGTCTTTCCTTAGAATCTCCCAAAATATTGTACCTTTTGAAACATCGATTAGTTAAAGTTCCTAGTTGGAGAAATCATACATTAGACACTATATATCATCATATATATAAACAAGTTCATTAACAAGAAATGAATCCATTAGCCCATCACGGACATGACAATTCACATTCAAATTCCCAAAAAAACATTTTGAATTCTGAAAATTCAGCTAATATTATGAAGTATCAGCTCATGGAATCAGTGCAACTTTGAAAGCTTTGCTTCTAACAGATACCACTAAACCGATGTATCAAATCCCTAGTAAGCAATTACCCGCTCCGTAAAATTAAAACCTAGATGCCACCTGAATTCAACCTCAATTTGGTCTTAAATGCATAACTTATGTTCATTTCATCACCAAACATAAAAGAAGGAAATTATAGCAGAAATTTTCATAAATAGTTTAAAAAAAAAGTGCCCATCAAAACCCGTCAATTATAACCAGTTCAAGCAAAATAACAACATGCTTCAAGCAAGAAACAAACCCAGACCAGCAAATCAGCTAAGGATGAAGATAAACAAGTAAAAGGAAAAACAATTGATCATCAAAAAGGGAAAACAAAACTGAAAAATAATCACAAAATGAACAGATATTGGGAAAGTTGACTTGACCTGAAAAGGCTAGACAGATGCAGAAGGAATTGTTGGAGAGAACAATTAAGAAGAGAGAGATAGAGAGAGCTCAAAGTCCATTGAAGAAGGTGAGAGTATTATGCTGCTCTATTTATGTGTTAGGTGTAGGTTGTTGCCCAAAACTGACTCGTCAAATTATGATTATTATTTTTTTGTTAATTCATTTTAATTTCCATTAATGAACGAGTTTCAACGATTCAACTGATTCAACTCGGCAAATATAACATTCCAAGCTACATTGGTCAATTATTTCCTTCGTCTTCCTTTCCGATCATTATAAAAAATTGAATTTTACTCGTTTTTCATTTGGTTTGCATGTGTAAGTGACGAACTTATAGAAATTCTAATTATTTGACCATAAATTGTTGATCTTTATTAGGGAAAACTATACTAATCTCGTAATAAATAAACAATTTCATCTTTTAAGATCAATTAACAGTCAATGGCAAATCATTATTATTCCATTTTGTTCATTGATAGTACTTTTTATAATAGGGTAAATTATGTATTTAGTATATAAACCATCAATTTTAATCCGTTTTAGTACTTAAATTTTTTTAATTTTTTTAAAATCATGTCTAACGTTTAATTTTCATTTTATTTTAATACCATGGCTGTAAAAACTTAAAACGTTTAGTATATAAATTATTATTTTTAGCCCATTTTCAAAAGTTAAAATCAAATTTTGAATGTGATATTAAAATGAAATAAAAACTAGATTTTTTAACGACGAGATACTAAAATGAAACAAAAACTAAACTTTAGGAATGATTTTGAAAAAAACGAAAGTTTAAGTATCAATGGAACAAAATTAATAGTTTATATACTAAATATGTAAATTACCCTTATAATAATTATAACCAAATATATATATCATCTAATATGATTTATGACCAAACTTTAAAAGTTTGTTTATTGGTTTGTTTGTTTTTTTTTTAATATTTTAAGGGGTACTTAACTTTTAACCCTTGAATTTGGTAAAAGAAATTGATTTAATCATCAAATTCGATATTTCTTCTGTTTAAACATTGTTTTTAGTCTTTTTTAGGGTTTAATACATTGAGATTGTGACACATAGTACAATCTAAATTGCTATTCGAGACACCAAAATCCAAGTTCATGGTCTAACATGAGGGGAAAAATAATGGACCAAATTAAAAAATAATGGAATTTAGAGACTAAAAGTGATTTTATCCCTTTCTTGATTGATAAAGAAAAACCAAATAAATTAATTTGTTTTAAGTCAAACAATATTTTACTAATATAAATTAAACAAATTGGTCATGTAGTTGCCATTAAAAAATTCCACCTTTGACTAATTACCATAGCTCTATTCACACACGGCTGTCTTGTCAACACAAAAAAGTAAATTAATTTTAATTCGTTTTAATACTTAAACTTTTAATTTTTTTTAATTTATACTTAAAATCTAATTGTTATTTCATTTTAGTACCCATTCAAAATTTAATATTAATTTTTTTAAAAAATAAAAGTTTAGGTACTAAAAATGACCAAAATTGATAGTTTTGGTAGTAAATGCATAAAATTTTTAATGGCGAGTATTAAAATGAAATAAAAACTAAACGCTAAATATAATTTTAAAAAATTGAGATTTTAGGTGCTAAAATAGACCAAAACTGATAGTTTAGGTACTAAATTCATAGTTTACCCAAAACTTTATTCAGCCTATTTAAGTCACGTGGATGCCTTCATAAAGTAAAGGGTTAATATCACGTTTAGTCCTTCTAGTTTAATGATCATGCAGTATGATATCTATACAAAAAAGCTTATAATTTGATACTTGTAATAAAGTTGTGTTATAATATGTTTCGTTATCCTATAGTAAATCAACACATGTACACATGGCATACTACATTTGAGATAATCGATCACTGAACTTAATAATCACAAATAATGAAGTTACATAAAACGGTGTCACGGGAAAACCGGATTAGCGATATCGGCGGTCACCCGAGCCGAAATTCTCGCCGATGGAGCTCTTCTGGTTTACAACACAAGTGCGTTGGCACAGTAGATATCGATCTCGATTTGCAATGCTACTTGTATTCTGTCTATAAGATGTGATCATGCACTAATCAAAATAACTTCTTCAACAAGAAAACTTTTGCATGTTTATGATATTTTGGATTTGGCTAGCTAAAATTACTGAGGTAATATTGATTAGGTTGAAACATTAGGTAAAACAACATATTAAACTAAATCAAAATATTACCGTCCGCCAACAAATCATGGTTAATGTTTCTTTGCGAATTCGAAAACAGAATACGTACATACCTCCTTCTGAAGCCATGCAAACTCTCAGCCTCGGATCTGATATGCAAAGGCAAAATGTGGAACTGAAATTCGGGTACCTCTACAGACGATTTCCGCTGCTGTTGAATATTTAACCTTGTGGTAGAAACCAATTAGTTCGATCCCATCGTATCTCTTCGTACATTTCTTCATGTTGAGGAGGCAGTGACAAGCTCTAGACATGAGTTGAGCTAAAATGTTCAGTTACATTGACAATCTTAGATCGAACTACCTACACTATGCGAATAAAATCTATGGTTACTTGGTTAACAACAACTGGAAGAGCTGTTTTTCTAACTTGGTTCTCGATCATGAATGTCGACTATAAGATCAACATTACAAGATCAATGGGTAACCAAATCGATCTCCATTCCTTACTATGGATGGAATCAAAGTGACGAACGCAAGTATGTATCCGACATGCATATGTATAGAATTTTCATATTGGGTATGCATCAGACACAGGTATTTCAAGACAATTCGAAAAATGGAAATGGAGAAAAAGAAACCGGTACAGAAAATTCAGAAAAGGGGTTATTATATACTCTAGTCCACTAGGTTTCAATTAATAGCATGATAGAAAACTGTAGGGACGAAGTACCGAACCTTCTCGATTTCATCACAAAGAATGGGGTTGTCTCTCAAGTACTGTAGTACTTTATCTCGGCCTTGTCCCAAACTTTACAAAAATATAGAAAACAGGACCAAACTTATTGCAAACTTACAAACACTAGTTCGAATTATTTAACACGATTAACACATAAGAAAGCTCGAAAGCAAACCTACTGTCCCCATAGCTGTACCAAGAGCCCTTCTTTGCTACCACATCCATCATGTCGGCACAATCCAAAATGCATCCCTGTAGGCTCTTTCAATGTCAAGACAAAAAGAAAAGTCTGTAAATCCAGATGATCGTAAGTATTACATTGCATTACTAACCAATTTGCTTACTCCCTCTCCAATTATGATTTCAAATTCTGCTTGCTTGTATGGTCTTGAGACCTGCAATAGCAGTCAATTTGGGGACACTAAGTTCACCAGATATATTAACAATTTCTAATGGCTTTTTAGCAGGCATAACAAACTTTAATACTTCGCTTCCCACTATCTTTAAAAGTCGCTGATATGATTCTTGTTTACCTTAGTCGTTTGCACTCTTACACGAACACGAAGCCCAGTATCCTCATCGCCTTTAACTAGAATAATATGGATTATGTAGTAGTAATTATTACATATTGAGTGATGAAAAGGAAAACTGTCGTGGAAAATCAAGTTGCTATTGTGCTTACAGACTTATCTTCCCAGTAGGGCGTATTTCAAGACGAACTGAGGCAAAGAACTTCAATGCAATTCCTCCACTGGACACTTCCGGGTTTCCATAATATACTCCAATCTTTCAAAATCAGAAGCAATACACTAAAATCACGTTAATCTAGTCTAGAAACATAGAGAGACGCAAGAAAATCAACATGCATATAAGGATCTTCCTAAAATGTAGTTTGAGTTAAACACATCGACACCCTCTATATCACAACTGCAGTTGTTTTTACTTAATCTATGAATAAGAAAACCAATAATCGATCCAAAGTACCTTGTATCTTATTTGATTAAGAAAAATTAGAGTACAGCCAGCTTTAGAGGCATTTCCTGACATCTTACGTAAAGCCTGACTCATAAGACGTGCTTGTAATCCCATTTGCTGCATCCCGATCGCACCCTAATAACAAAATGCAACAAGAAAGAGCTTAGACATGGCACGGCTCATAGAACTGTTCAAAAGCATACAATAAGAAGAGGCAAAAGAGGCGTACAAAAAGAGGAGAGAAGAAAGGAACAGGTCATATCAAAAACTAATTCTGCTCGTGGAACGCAAATTAAATCTACGGCACCAGATCTGCACATACGATCTGCAACTGAAACATAACAACTTCTTTGGTCTTATTTGTTGAGCTTATAAACATAGCAAAATTTTCAAAAGCATCATGTGTGCTGCATCAGTTACTGCCTTCCTCAACCATCACAACTTTCACCGGTACATAAAGAGGGACTGTGTATATTACTTTCTAATGCCATTTCCCCATTATCCGGTTGGCACACAATCAAATTTTCAACATCTACTCCCAATGCTTTTGAATATGCCGGATCAAAAGCATGCCCTGAGTCAACAAGCATAGCGTTGCCACCAAGTTTCTGCATAATTAACATAAAAACAATGAAAATAGTATTGCACTTCATTGACCTTTTCGTAACATAATAAACCAGAAACCAAACCAGCTAAGAAAGGGCAGAAAACTATCAACCTGTACTTCAGCAATGGCATGGAGTGCTAAGGTAGTTTTCCCACTACTTTCTGGCCCATATACTTGCCAAGTTAAACATCGGATGTCGTGATGCCATTCAAAGCAGATTTTGAGTATAATGTTGAAATTAGTCAATCTAGCACAAAGGCACATGCTAAACAAAATTAGTCAGGGGAGGAAAAAATTACACGTATCAATATATGTTTCCATGTCAATACATGTGCAATATGGATTCATTAGGAAAATTAAAAAGTTGTAGGCATGTAAACGAACTGAACGTTCAGCGAACTGTTCGTGAACCGTTTGGCGGGAAGTTCGTTTATTTATTAAACGAACGAACATGAACAATATTTTGTGTTCGTTTAATTAAATGAATGAACATGAACAGAGGGTTCGTTCGTTCATTTACGCTCGTGAACGTTCGGTAATATGTTCGTTCATTTATGTTCGTTTATTTGTGTTCATTTATGTTTAGCCCAATCTCTCTATACCCATTTAAAATATTAAAGCCCAATAAATTTTAATCTGATACCCATAAATATTTTAAAATTCAATTAATTTTAAACACAAATAAAAAAGGCTCAAAACAATTAATTAAAATATAATCCTAAAATTGTTATGAAAGAAAAAAATATTTTCATTTATGTTAATTTAAGTTCATTTATTGTGTTCGTTTACGTTCGTTCATTTGTGTTCGTTTACGTTCGTTCATTGTATTCGTTTATGTTCGTTTACATCTGTTCGTTTATGATCGTTCATTTGTGTTCGTTTATCATTTAAATGACCGAATAACATGAATGAACATGAACAAGCTGCATTCCTTAACGAACGAACACGAACACGAACAAGAAATTTTTCGTTCGTGTTCGTTCATTTATTCGGTTAAAGTTAAACGAACGAACATGAACATACCCCGTTCGTGTTCTTTCGGTTCGGTTCGTTTACCGACCTAAAAAGTTTCATCAAGAAACTTGTGGCCTAAGAGCCTTTGCCACCATGAAATAAGATAATGATAAAAAGCTTTTAGGAGTAAGGTCTAAACATATTTCATCTGTTATCATTCTATCTATTACTTTCTTAACAAAGATGTGTGTTAACGATACTTCACTGCCTATTGTTCTTTTTTTTCTTTTCAATTCAAGTAATAACACCATTAATGGTAGCATAGGTTTGGTTTTTTTGAGACAGGGAGTCGGAGAAGCAGACGTTGAAAGTACAAGGACATAGCTAACTAAAATCTCTGAAGTGTGCTTAAGACAACTAAGTAGGTAATATCTTGCTATTTACATTTTAAAGTGTGTCCGGATTGCTTCCTTTTTCGGTTTAAGTGTTTCCAAGCCCTAGTTCCCTTTGAGAGAGGGAGTCGGAGAAACAGAACGGGCGGCTTCTTTTCTTCTTCAGCTCTTGTGTTCGATAAAACATAAATTCAGGGTAAACTACTTTTTTGATCAGTCAATATTTACAGTGTTTCTGGTTTGGTCACCAACTTTAATAGCTTTTCAAATTCACCGTTAAACTTCTAAATTGCTTCTGTTTTGTTTTGGTTGAGGATTCAAATTACGGTTGCGATCGTATTTTTGGTCGTGCTGTGTTTATCGCACTTGCGGACATAGTGACCGCTACTACGATGTTTGCAAGTATTACAGTTATACAATAACAGCCACAGAGGATACGGCTACCGCTATATAAAACCTAACCTTAAATCTATAACCTTAACCCAATGATGTCATCCTTTTCGACCACAGTCACCGCCGTTGACGTAATCTTTCTCATCTTCTTAGTCATATGCCACCATACTCATCGATTGATTATCGAGATCGTGTGGGGTTGTGATTTTTAGTGTCGAGTTCGTCGTGGTACACATATCGATTGGTCACGATTTCACATGGTTATCGATCAACGGGTGGAGATTTATCAATGACAAAAAGGTAGCGGGCGATATGAGTTTAGGGATTGAAATGAGAGTTTTTTAAGTTTTGGGGTTTCTTAAAATATTTTAAAATATTTGTGTTTTTTAAGAAAAATACATTTTAATTTTTTTAGTTTTAAATAAATTTTTTACATTACTAAAACGTTACCTATGTCATTTAACGAAAAAGATTAATATCAATTCGGCCCAAATACCTAAATTAATAATATTTGTAACTATAGGCATATAAATGATTAAAAAATATTTAGACAACTATTTGAAAAATTGCTATAATTTAACCACTTATTTTATATTTAAACCTTCAATAAAATATAAGACCAGGGTAAACTACTTTTTGATCACTCAATTTCAACAGTGTTTCTGATTTGATCATCAACTTCAAAAGCTTCTCAAATTCACCGTTAAACTTATAAATTGATTCTGTTTTGTTTTAGTCACTCAATTGTTAAGTGTTTAAAGTCCTTTAAATTTCTTTGTAATCAATCAAAAAAATTATTTGGTAAAATTATGTGAAACTCCTTTGAAATTTAATTAGAAATCAAATTTTCTAATAGGCCGTCAAACTATATCACTAAGATTTATCACGGAATGCAAACAGTCGGTCTCTTTCACAAATCACAATCCTATATTCGATCCAAACAAACTTTGATTACATTTTTTACATTAGGATCAACATACATCTTAAACAATGTTTAAAGAAACGGGGATCTTGATGATACCCCAAATTTGTTTAATTGTATTTACAAACAATGATAAACCCTAAACCCTGATCACCTAATCTTCAATATTCAATTAATTCCAAATGTTGGACAATCCCACATTTCGGACAAGTAGCTCTGGTCGGAATTACTAACTTCATCGAAGCTCGTCGATTCCTTGACGTTCAAGTAAGTGTCTAACAGACTAAGATTGCTCAGCACGTCTTCAATGACCGTCCTGTCACTGGGGAACGAGTCTAGACAAGAAGTAATGTTGTTGTCAATGCTTGCCGAGATCATTTGTTGTTGTTGTTGATGATGATGTTCGACCGAGGAAGAAGAAGACGACGTTAGGGTTTTTGCATGCACGTTCGGTACTTGCATGTCGTTGAAGCTTGGGTTTCGGGTGGACAACATGGTGGAGAAGCATGGCACTTGTTCGTCGGAGCTCGGTCGGATTTGGTCGGAGATTGTGTAGGGGTCCATCAACGGTGGTAGAGATGATGAGCTTGTGTCGTCCGAACAGATTCCCATGCTTCTAGGGTTGGTTTTGTGGAGCACCCGGCATAAGACCCAATCTTCCTACATATGTTTCGAAATATTGGGAAATATAATATTATATTAATATCATCAAATGTAAACAACAATTTGATGTAAATATAAGAACAAAAATAAAACAAATAAAGTGAAAAATTAAACAACTTAATTCAATATAATCCTAAATATTTCATCCTTATTATGTCTATATCTTTTACTAAAGATTAGGGTTTCAAATCACGGTCCGAAAATATGATTTCGTTCGTGAAATAGCGATTTCGCTGTCGTTCGAGTCACCCGCTACACCCGTAATAGTGTCTAATAACGCCCACGACGGCACAATCACAGTAAATCTGAAATGATCGAAAACGCGACCGCGATTTGAAAATTGATTAAATTTGTTTTTCTATTAGGGTGACAAGTAACAAGGCGGCTATAGCCTGTAGATAAAAGAAATACACATAGAGATTTGACTTTGTAATTATATTTTTATGCTCAATAGATTTTATATTGCAACATGTCCCAAGATTCGTGCAAAAATTCAAGGACCTTTTAGAAAAAAATGATAAATATATATATTATTTAAAGATAATTGATTAGACTACCGCTATTTAAAAAATATTTCATTTTCATCATAAAAATTTAATTTTATAGGTTTGATTCTTTTAATATATTCAAAATTATAATTTAATTAGTATAATTTAATGTCTTTATTTTAAAAATATTATTAGTTAATTCAAATAACTAATATTTTAAATCATTTCGGTTAAAAATACTTGTGTGGATCTTTTCTTAACCTCCACACCTCTTACTTACATAGTGCTCGAACCCAAAACTTCAAGTAATAATAATAATTTTTTACGGCTAAAATCATTTTTGTACAAAATAACCATTTTGTTTCACTGTTCTAACCTAAAAAATTACATAAAAAATTTACACCTTTTTAGAATCGTTGGGGGAGGGGAAATCAACGATTGAGATTAACAGTAAGAAATTAGAAGATATTCCTTGAAAAAACAATGAGTTAATTTCAGTTGTTGATTTTCTCTCATCCACGATCATAAAAGGGTGTAAAACTAAAAGTTTTATGCTAGGTGTAAGTGGATCATATATATATTGTTCAAAGAGTATTCATTAAAAAATCACATCAATATTTTAACTAAAATAATAGGACTAAAATCATAATTCGACCAAATTTTTAAGTTGATAAGGCTAAGGCAATCTAAATTCACATGTAAAAGTCAAAATCTTACATATAGATAGATAAATAGATAGTTTTTTTTATGATTTTTTTCGGTTAGATAATCTATATTTTATTTTTATTAAATGATAGGGAGAGAAGTTGCCTAGAATCAAACTAATTAGAAACTAATGTCATCTAGGATCAATGTGATCCCTAACCCCTAAGTTAATACATCATAGGTGCAATTAATAGTTTTACGAGTTTAATCTTTATTTAGATCATTAAAAAATAGTCAAGCATGAATCAAGCGATTTCGATGATAAAAGAATTATTATTATTCTTTGAGGTCTCAGATTTAAGCACTAGGAATGTCATGGGTGTAAGCGTTCAATATCAAATAATTGAGAATTATTTTTGATCAGATGCATCTTATACTTACTTTAAATTAACAAAGAATAGTCAATAAATATATAGAGGGGGAGAGAGAAAGGGGGGAGTATTACCTTAAGAGTGTAAATGTTGGGGGGTGAAAGGGGATCTTCAAGCCTGAATTCATGCATTACCCAATCAGTTTTAGTGCCCTTGGGAGCCCTGCCCTTGTAGAACACCAAAGTTTTTCTCATCCCAACAGGCTTGCCCTTGCTAAGGACTGCCCTATCTTTCCCCGTTGCCTTCCAATACCCACTGCACGTTGCCCTATTTGTCCTCACCCCCGTTGCATATTTCCTATCTCTTTTGCTGTAAAAATACCACTCCTTCCCTCCCACTGCTGTCCTTTCTGCCATACATTTTAATAGTCGGTGATCATTTTAGAACTTTTAATAATCAAATAATTCAATAAAACAACACTTTAGAGTTAAAGAATCATTTTATAACTTTTAATAATTAATAGACTTAATAAAACAATGTCTTATAGTTAGAAATCATTTATATACTTTGTCCCGACTAAGATTCCTTAAAAATACCTCATAAACTAATGTGAATTTTGTTTATTGACCTTAAAAATAATACTTGGTCGTAACCCCATTGGTCAAAGTGGGAAAACAATACCCAAAACATTAATTTACTTTTTTTTTCTTCTCTATTTTTTATAGTTGAAAAACAAATAATATTTTTAGATAAGTATGCTGATGGGGATGTTTAAATAATTGGGGAGACCGATTAGGGTTTACGTACACGTGGTAGTCCAGATTTAGAAGTAAAAATGGCATAATGACCCGAACCAGATGGAAAAACTCGAAATCCGGCTAAGTTCGGATCGGGTCGGGTTTGAATAATATCGGATCGGGTCAGATATCGAGATAAAATTAAGAGATTTTTTTAGGTTCGGGTTAAGGCATCCCCGTCTCGCTCCGATTATATATATATAATAATTTTTATATTAATTATATATAATAAAAAAACATTTTGGGTTTAGATTCGGTTAAATATTTCGGGTCGGGTTCAAGGACGGGACAAAAAAATTCCCCAACGAAACGCCTCGATAAAAAATCCAATAGAAAACGAGACACGGACGAGGATTCATTGCGGAAACGAAAGAACAAAACCCGCCTCGAAATCGTCTTGTTGTCATTCCTATTTAGAAGCATCAAAAAGTTTGTTCACTGACCACCAGCTGTGACATAAAAACAGGTGACCCAATTGCGGTTGTAATTTGCCAAAAGGACAAAACGGGTTGCTTTGCTTGCACGTGTGGTATCTGTGAAAATGTTATTGAATATTTATAGATATTTATTAATAAAAAATAAATAAATATTAAAAATACTAATCCCCACCACTGTTTCTTATATTCGTATAAATTTTTATAAAAATATGTATTTATAAATTGTTTATTGTTTTTAATTATCTCGGTCACTTTCACAGCTGTTAGGTTGGGGCAATGCCAAGACTGTCAATTTTATTCAAAATATGTAGAATATGAAAAATTGCAGTTTTAGTTAATATATAGAAATAATGATTAAAGTTATCAAATACTTTATTCAAATAATAACACTGACCGACTTTATAAAGGAATCAATAAAAAAAATTATATTAATAATTCTAAGATAATAATTTAGAGATTTAATATATGAATTGGATATGCATATACATATTTATAACGATTTGGGTATATCGCTAATGAGTATTGGCACAAGTGATTGAGGTTTAGAAATTTGAGTTTGTAAAGTCAAGTTTAAATCCTACACCGTCACTCTTGATGAATAATCTGTAAATTCTTATATAAATCTCAATTGAATATTAGGTATGCTCTGATCTTGAATTGAAAAAATCACCCTTACCTAAACTTTTGTGTAAAAAATGATTTATGTAAAAAAAAATGATTTGTGCATATAAAAAATTTCAGGTGACATACATACCAACCATCCCAGTTGATTTTTTCGTGAATAGAGGATTAAATTATTTTTTGAATAACATTGATGCCTAATATTATAAAAGTTATTATTTTAGGTGTTAAGGTTGTCAAGGACAATAATTTTCTTTATTAAATGACATATGTCACAATCTAATAATTATAAAAATTTTATATAAAATTTTAAAATATATATTTAAAAGTAACCTCAAAAACTTGGAAAACTTTCATTTCAAACTCTAAATCCACATTGGTTGTCGCCCTTTGTCGTCAACAAAGGCCTACCCGACTTCACCTCCCCCAACGATCAAAACTCCTATGAAATGATGACCGATCGACGGTAAATCCTAAAATAAAAATCACCATCCCACGCGATTCCGTCAATCAATCGGCAGCAACTACGGCGACAGTGGGTTAATGTTAAGGTATGAGACTTTTAAGGATTTTGGGGTATTTTATAATTTAAGAGAAATAAGAGTTTTTTTCATAAATATAATAATATTCTTAATATTTTTAGAAAATAAATTTCAAATTTATTATATTATGACATGTGTCACTTAACAAACGTAATTAACATCGGTCACGACACAAACACCTAAAATGACAATATTTATAACGTTAAACACCGGAATCATTAAAAAAAATTAGGTACTTATTCATCAAAAACACTTTAATTTAAACACTATTTTATATATAAGCCTATCTAATTCACTGTAAACAAAATTCTAAAAAATATAGAAAAAATATTTGTTTTTCTCAAGAAAATTAAACACTTCCCCACCACAAAATGGGAAAGATTCACATAAAAAATATCTCAAATCTATATATATATATTCATTTGCAGTCGGTCTGTTTGCTATTACCTTTCCATAAGCAAATTTTGCAAACAAAAACAATCCTACATCTCTCCTTCCTTAAGGACGAAGCTAAGATTTAGAACCCAGAAACCGAAAACATAAGAACACGAACACTAACCGATCAACTGATTCATACGATCATTTTCAAAAGATAATTTTTAATAAAATTGATATTCGGACTCAAAAAACTCACGAATTCAATGAAAAAATGATATGCATATCAACACATACCGGGAATATCCACGGCTCGCACTTGTTGAGGTCGACTTCGATCATGAGCCGCAAGGTATCGGTCGAAGCTACCTTCTTCATCAAGTAATCGCAGACGAGTTCTTCGTCTCGAGGGTGGAACCTGAACCCCGGTGGCAGCTTGGCCTCCACCAAGCTTATGTTGCTCATTCTATTAGGGTTTGGTTTAGTTCAATAGAAGAAAGTGGGAAAAACAAGAGGGTTTTCTACAGGGAAAATTGAAGGTTTCTTGAGAGGAAAACAATGGTCTTGTGGCTATGGAGAAGGCAAGAGAGAAAGAAAGAAGAGGGGATAAATAAAGAAGGGAAGAGAACGTTAAGTCGAGGTGGAGGATTATTAAAGTCAACTTGGTAAAAATAAAATGGACCCTATTGCATAGCATATATATAGGTTTTATTATACATGTATTAACATAAAATATATTTTTTAATTATTTGAAATGACCATTTAGCTCAGTTGGTAGAGCACACGTTCTTAACCTTAAGGTCGTGGGATCGAGTCCCACGGAGGAAATTTCATAATTCAGAGGTCTCCTACGGAAGCTGCTCTCAACCTGGTGTCGGGGGCAACCTACTATCTTACCTCCCCTTACCTCATACATATGGGAAAAAAGGGACATCCATTTATTTTATATTTTTTAATTATTTATATGAGTCACGATACACTTACATATAGTGTAAAATTCTTAGTTTTACATCTTTTTAAGATCGATAGATGAGGAAAATCAAAGGCTGGGATTAACTTCTTGTTTTCCAATGATATATTCTCGTTTTCTATTGTTAATCTCAAGTTTTGATTTCTTCCGTCACGGTCCTAAAAAGATGTAAAACTCTTAATCTTACTTGGGTGTATTGGATCATGCCCTATTTATATGGGTTACAATTAGGGAAGAGTATGAGACCCAAACCCGACGGATACCAACTTGACCCGATCAGATTGTTTTTTTAATTCAGATTCATTCATATTTTTTTAGAGTTATGTTCAGGTCTGGTCAGATTTAGGATAAAAATATCTGATCCAAAAAATATAATTTTATCTTATATTTTATAAATAATTACAATATTTTCCTTATATATTATTATTTTAATCAAATATTTATTGTTATTGAATAAAATATTTTTTTATTAAATATGTTATTTGGGTCGGGTTCGAGTTAAATGTTTGGTGTACATTTTCGGGTCGGATCGGATAAGATGAAGGATGTATAATTTTTGGGTCAGGTAAGATTGACTGAAACCCAACCTGTGCTCATCCTAGTTTGGATCCACTTGCACATAGTGTAAAACTCTTAGTTTTACACATTTTTTAGGATCATTAGATGAGAAGAAATCAAAGGATGTGATTAACTTATTTTTTCCAGTAAATATCTTTTCATTTCCTATCGTTATCAACCTTGATTTTCTTTATCTAACAGTCTTAAAAAATGTAAAACTCTTAATTTTTTACCAATATAATAGATTTTGTCCTTATTTATATGATTAAATCCACTTACCCCAAGTAAATATTTCAATTATCTGTGGTATTATATAATTATGGTAATGTGTGAGGATAGAATTAGTATTAGTAATTAGTTTTTAGTATTTGTATAATTTATTATATCATAATCGTATTTAAATTATTTATGTTAATTTTAGATCATGTCTTATTCAAATTAGATATTAATTCATATCATAATATAATTCGGACTGAGACGAGTGAGCCACAGTGCCCTATAATATTCAAAATTAATCAAATTTTGCTCACCCTAATCATCACTCACAAAAAAATCATAAACCTTCAAACATTCTCACCAACACTTTCCAAATCGTAAGGACCTATTTTTTCTCCTTTATAACTCATTTTTCGTATCAATAAAAGTAAATTCATTTAGACTCTAAAATCAATTAATCCTAATAATTTAAGTATCTCGAATCTATTAAATTTAAAATTTCATCCATCTATGAGTAAACATAGTTGACTGGTTGGTTAAATTATTCATCTTTGTTCTCTCGTATTCACTTAGGTAACAAGTTTTTGATCCACTAAGAGCATTTCATTTTCTTCTCACTTTTCACTTCTCAGTCTCGATTATGATTTATATTTAAAATTCGTTGAAAATAACTCTATATAACCAATGATATTTAATTTATCGATTGACTAATTCGAATATGGTACTATAGAGATACGGACGACCATCCTAACCTATTTTATTTCATTCGCAATCGTAAGGATTTGAACCTCTAACTTTACTTAAAAAATCTAGTGACTTATCTTACTAGACCAACCGATTGTTGGTTTATTTTCATATATTTTACCGAATTGAATTCTCCTCCGCATGAAATAATTGACCAAAATCAGTCCACCCAATACCCAAAGTTCCTTGTGGAAGTGGAGGCAAATGAACGGTTCACATGAGCAAATGATGTTTTATAAACAGCCCCTGTGAGTTCCAAAAACATGGGTTAACTAGTAGTAATTAATGCTGAAAACAACTGCTCCAAAAATAATGGTTGTCCCATGTTCCCATATATAATGGGGTAATGGGAAGGTAAGATAGCAGGCTGCCTTCCAACACTAGGTTGAAGCAGCTTCCGTAGGAGACCTCCAAATTATGAAATGCCCTCCATAGGACTCGATCCCACGACCTTAAGGTTAAGAACCTTGTGCTCTACCAACTGAGCTTGATGGTTATTTAAAAAAAAAAAGCGGTTCATATTTAGAAATTTGAGCTTATAAGGCCAAGTTCAAACCTATCACCGTCACTCTTAATGGATAATCTGTAAATTCTTATGTAATCCTAATTATGTTCTAGGCATATTTTGACCCTTGAAATGGGAGAGACATCCCTGACCTAAATTTTTATGTACAAAAAATGAAGTAAATTAAGTTCAAAGAATCATCTTTGTAATATATCCTTACAATACATAATTTAAATTAGGTTAACTACATGATAGATCACTCTCGTTTATGTTTTGTTTACTTTTTTTTAACTGGATTCAAAAAATATAATGTATGGTCACTTTCATTTTTATTTATTTAAAATGTGGTCACTGAAGGTTAACTATCGTTAGATTTTTAACAAATTGATAACGTGTTACAATGATATAAAATTAAAAATGATAAACTACAAAAATGGTCACTAATCTTTTAGTAATTTTTTGTTTTCCTCACTAAAATTTTAAAATTAACAAATTGGTCACTAAGTCATCAAATAGTTCCTTATATTATTCTTTTATCTCTCTTTGTCATCTATTAACCCAGAAAAGTGGGATATAGAAATTTGATGAAGTATTTCATACCGATGAAGATGAGAATTCAAGGTGGAAAGTTTTCGGAAAATTTTCAATTCAAATGTGTATTTTCTTTCTTTATTTTTCATGGCTTTTGTTTCCTTGAATATTATTCTACTCTTAATGGGCGGTGTGGAGTAAGGAGATGAAGAATCATTATAGGGGGACGTATATCACAAAAAGGTATCGACCAATTTATTATTTTAAAAACTTCAGAGGAAAAATAAAAAATTATTCAAATATTAGTGACCATTTATGTAATTTACCCTTTTTATTTTTAATATTTACTATGTCACATCAATAATCCCTTAAAAATCTAATGACAACTAATCTTCCGTGACTATATCAATTAAACAAAAACAAAAATCATCATATATTATGTTTTTGAAATCAGTTAGAAAAACAGACAAAACATAAATGAGTGTGATCAATCATGTAGTTAACCCTTTAAATTAATCAATTAAGCTCATCTTGGTAATTTATATAGCAAGAGATTTGACCCAATTGAACTCTAAATCTAATTGACCCAAACAAAGAGAACATTGTCGAAATTGTTGAATGGTGGAAGGAACAAGATAACACTAGGAAGACAGGTGTTTTAAATGGACAAAAGATTGGGCAAACCAGATGACGTGTTGGGGTTGGGGTCACTTAATTTTAAAGCAATGCAAATGGGACTGTTATGCTACTTGCTTATTCATTACCAAATAACTCCAATCTTGTTTTGTATTATTTGTAGAGATTGTCAACTAATCCACCAATCAAGTTTTTCTAGAATATAATTACGTCAAAAATATTAGGATGTCACTGATAATTGTACCCGGACATTCTAACGTGACCTGTCCACTAGGTTTCAAAATTATAAATATTAGTTTATTTACTCTCTTTTTTTTTAATAAAATGATATTATTATTATGGGTAAATTACGTGTTTAGTATCTAAACTGTCAAATTTAATCCGTTTTAATGCTTAAACTTTCAATTTTTTTTTCAAAACTATGTCTAATGTTTGCTTTTTGTTTCATTTTAGAATCATGTCGTTAAAAATTTAATGCATGGGCTCGTCGGTCGATGCATCTACAGTCGTCGATCGTCGCAATTGTAGGGCGATGAAGCTCAAATTTTCCAACCGGTGTCTTTTCGACCTACTGAACGTGATTTCGGCCTCCGTTTCATCGAAAATGTCTCAATCTCCCAAATCAAAGACGGACTCTTTGACTTTTTATCATCTGATCTTCGTCGTCAACCTTTCCATGGCCTTGAAACTAGACTATGTTGGTCAACTCGTCAATCTCTTGTAGTCAAGCGTTCGGATTAGTCGTTTGTCCACCGGAGCTATGCCCCGTCAACTCGTCTATTAAGTTTTTAATGACAAGGTACTAAAATAAAACAAAACCTAAACGTTAGGCATGGTTTTGAAAATTTTGAAACTTCAGATACTAAAATAGACCAAAACTAATAGTTTATATACTAAATATGTAGTTTACTCTATTATATTAGCTTTATCTATCCAAGTAAGCAATATGTTGCTAGCTATATCCAACAAAGCTCCGGCTCAGCCCATTTTTTTTATTTATAAGTATTGGACAGAAGAATATCCCTTAATTTATAATAAAAAATTAATAACTTCAGTTTATAAAAAAATAAAATTAGAAAGACAAAACTCAAATAGATTAATTATGTTATTCACTTTCTCTGTTTATCTTATTATTTTTTAATTCAAAATTAAGCTGATTACTAAATAATATATGTTCTAAGTACTCTCTATCATTAACGTTCAAGTCGTTGGTACTCGAAATCATGACCTCTAAGAACAATAACAATTCCTTTAACCACTGAGATAAATTAATTCGTGTTTATACGTAAAATACACGTTAAAAGTATTAAAAATAACCGATCGAGACAGGATAATTATAAAAGATAATAATATAATTCAAAATATAAAGTTCATAATAGA